GCGAGTGAGGGTGAGGGACTGAGGGTGATGATGACCGACTGTGAGGGTGGTCGGGTGTAAAAAAATGGGTTGATTGGGTTTTTGCAAATGGACTGAGAGCTGTAAAAAATGGACTGAGCTTTTTTATTAGTCCAGTTTTTAGGTGTAAGGTAGTAATTTGATGCTAATAATATGATCCAATGTGCAATTTTATTGACTGAGTATAATTCGATCATAAGAAGAGCTATGCTCTGGGTGAAACTGTTTGTTTGGGTTGTGTTTTTGACTAGTTTTTTGCAAGATTTGCATTTTTGAATGAGTTGATATTTCATATTTAGGTGTTGTTATAATGACTTAATGTTTTTCAATTATGTGGTTCAGATCTTCATTTAAAATGATTTCGCCTACACCGTCCGCTAATACCCAGCAGTCTGGACACGTTGGCAGCCCGGTTGAAATTTCACCATCAGTTCCATCACCAATAGCAGAGTCTGCTCCTCCTACCTCTAGTGAACCCGCTCCACTAAGTGAACCTCCACATAACAGTGGTGGCGACAATGGCGAGGACAATACAGGTGCTCAAAGTACTCAGAAGAGGAGACATACTTCTCCAGTATGGGATTTCTTTGACAGGGTCATTGTTAATGGGGAGCCCAAAGTGAAGTGTAAAGTTTGCGAGAAGAAGCTCTCTGCACATACTAAAAATGGAACTCATCACTTAATGGAACATGCCAAAACATGTGCCCGAAAGTCTTCAACAGCAAGTGATATAAGACAGTGCATTCTATCAGCTAGCAGGGACTCAGGGACTCAGGAAAAACAGAGTTGAAGAATCATTCGTATGATCCCAACTTAGCTCGACTCCATCTTGCATATATGGTAATCATGCATGATTATTCTCTTCGGATGGTTGAGCACAAAGGCTTTAGATTGTTTTTGAATACTATACAGACGCTTTTCAAGCCAATCTCAAGGAACACATTGCGCACTGACATTATGAAGATATTTAGTGAAGAGAAGAAGAAGATAATGACTTTACTGGAGAAAAATAATAGTAGAATTGCTATCACGACTGACTTGTGGACTGCTAGTAATCAAAAGAAGGGATACATGGCAGTGACCGCACATTTTATTGATAATTCTTGGAGGCTACAAAGCAGAATCGTGAGGTACATTTTCTAGTATTTTGTATATGCAAAAAAGCTTATTTAATTAACATTTAAATTCAAAATACTAATTATGAATGCGATTAAATTAGGAAACATCTAATTGAATTAAACTAGTTAAATCAGCTAATCTCTCCATGACTAGCCAAAAAACTATTTAATTTTGTTTTCTAAGGAAGTGTAATAATGGACAAAAAACAATGCTCATAGTTTTAACTGTTTAATAAGATTCAACATGACATTAACCTACTTTAACTTTATTTATCACTTTTTATTATTTCTAAGTTGCTTCTTGTTTGTACAATAGAAGATGCTCTTAAACTTAAAAAAAAAAAAGATAAATATAAAAGAGTTAATTATAGTGCTTACACGCAAATAAAGAAAAGCAAAACCTATATCTTTAGGTATATAAGTATGATAAGGGCTTAGTTAACTATTAGAATGATAGTGATTGGCGCATTAATAAATATTTTAACTAAGCATAGTTTTCAAAACAAACTTTTCAGCAGTTGTGAATGTTTCTACTAAAAAAATCTTACCTAAATAATATTTATAAATAAATTATCACAAATAATAGCACAAAATATGTAATTTCATATCATTTATTTATATTTTAGTATCATTTGTCTATTTGTAATCCAGTAAGTTTGAGCTTGAAATATTCTTTATTCTGACTTCTGTAATTGGCCCAAAAAGCATGCAACTGGGCTTATTTACATGTTCAATTTGTGTAACTAATAAGGAGCACGATTCCAATATGCTTTCAAAGTTGAATTTTTAAATTAAATGTTGCTCAGGAATTTCACGTGAAAACTGCAAAAAGGGTCAGGGGTTTGTTTATATTGTTCCCTTTTTGTATGATGCGTGAGTGATATATGGATGCTTGTGTTATGATTGTTTCATACTTTGTTTCAATTCTTAGGTTATGTGTTTTAATTAAATGTAGGTTTATGTATATTCCTTGCCCGCACACATCCGATGTAATTTGTGAGGCTTTGTTTGATTGCTTAATGGATTGGAATATTGATAGTAAGCTGTCTACTTTGACATTGGATAATTGCACCACGAATGATTCTGCTGTTGGCATGCTATCGATATTGATGAACAAGTTCTCTCCTGACTCTTTGTTGTTGAATGGCCAATACTTACACATGCGTTGTGCTGCACATAATTGCAGGATTTCTTGTTCTTATGTCCCTTTGAGTTCCTGTTATGTACCAAACTGTCAAACTGATTTCTTAGGTGTAATATGAAGAGCTTGAACATAGTATCTGTTACAGTCTACCTTTGACTATTTGGTGTCCTCTCTGGAAAATATATTTGCTCCAATAGTCTGTTTTACTAGATTTTTATTCCACCTTTAACGAAGTTCCTATCCATCTGGTTATTTTGAAAGATAAACTGTAGAGGCAATCACCTCAACAGGATCTTGAAAAACAATTAGAGTTTTGTATATTTCATATCGATTATAGATTGACCGCTTGCCATTAAATTTATTTGTATCAACAGTGTATATTAGTCAGCTTGTGCAAGTCAACTATACATTATACCTAACAGTTGTTTGTTATCAAATTGCTTCTAAAGGTCTCAAGCACCGTGTGTTTGAGGTGTCCTTCGCTGACTTTCAAGGTGATGAGGACCACTCCTTCAGGAAGATCCGTTTGAAAGCTGAAGATGTTCAGGGAAAGAATGTTCTCACAAACTTCTGGGTATGTGGAATGCATAAGCATCTATTCGTGTATTTATTTTGTTTGATATTGTTGACATGATGGGATTCTTTTGTTTACGTGCAGGGCATGGATTTCACCACTGACAAACTGAGATCTCTTGTGAGGAAATGGCAGTCACTAATTGAGGCTCATGTTGATGTCAAGACTACCGACAACTATACTCTGAGGTTGTTCTGCATTGCCTTCACGAAGAAGCGCGTGAACCAGCAGAAGAGGACATGCTATGCACAGTCGAGCCAGATTCGTCAGGTGAATATGTGATTCTTGAGAAGAGCAACACCAATTATTTGTTGGTTTTAAGCATTTATTCCTTCACCTGTCAAAATGGAGTATCTTGGAAGATTTCGTGCCTGGAAAATATGGTGCGTCTGTGTGCGTGATTTGAGTTCCGTAGATTTTGTTGCACTGTGCGAAAAGGCAAAACTTATTTGCTAAACTTATTGGTGCGTCTGCGTGTACCATGTCCCGAGTTCGAGTCACCCTGGGGGGAATTGGGGAACCAGTATTGATCCCCCTTTCAAAAAAAAAAAAAAGAGCTAGAACCGATTTTCTATCTATCTCTCTTCCCAAATCTATTTTTCTTATCTATTTCACTTGATTTCTCTGAGTTTCCAACCCTCCAAAATCTATGGCGACGTCAAAGATCCACGGACCATGTAGCGGCAGCAACGGGCGGCGTCGCAACTGATAATAGCTCTCCCAGTGGGAACGTTTACTCTCCAGTATGCTTCGATTTTTTCACAATTTCTATTTTTTAAGTTTGTTTTACTTTTTAATTATTTGTAAGATCTGTTTCGAATGTTTGTGTTTGGTTTTTGAAATCAGTTTGTTTGTGCGTAAATTTAGGGCTTTGGAAATGGGATCAAATGAAGTGTTCAATTGGGGTCGGATGATTTATAATCTTGTTTCTTTTTTAATATATTTATTTAGTGTGATGTGGTTTGTGGAGGGACCTTAACGTTTATGTGTAGACACTCTGGTGTTTGTGTTGATGTGGTTTGTTTGCTAAGCTATGTGTGATTACATTTTCTTGAGTGCTATGATTGATGTATAATTCTCCCAGTGGTAATTTGATGATTGGACCTTTTGTTGTATACAAATGTGATTCAGAATTTTCTCGCACATCTGGTTAGCACAAGTCAAGTATTTGGGCAGGTATGAACATAGGTATTTGGTCCTTTAGCTTGCCCGAATGTGCTCCCGAGCCTCGCCTCACCTCACCTCAGGTACCGCCTGAAAAAATCAACAAATGAAATGATACATATAGATTGATTAATTAATTAAGTTCTCCTACCATTTTATTATTTGCTTAAGTACTACTAATCACGATGAATAATTCAGAGACTAGATTTTGGAGAAGATGTAGGATAGTTAGGCAGATTATGCTTCCGCCGAAAGAATAAAAGCTGGCATACGATGTTTATTACACAAAATAAAAAAAAAATGGAAAAAACAAAACGTACTCCCAAGCAAATATTATGTTTATTATTTTGCTTTAAGTTATTGATACTAACCGTAAAGCAAAGTTCTGTGAGAATGCAAGCCTGAGTGTGGCTATATTTCTTAATAGTATTTGTTCTGCTGCTGAATGAGGTGCAATGCTCATATTGCTAACTGACAGGTGGTTTAAATTTTGTCCAGGTTCTTTGAATCATGGATGGAAACTTATCAGCTGCCATGGTAATGGACTCCACAGACTCTAAGATACAACAGCTTCAGAAAGCATTTGCTGAGCTGGAAAGCCACCGAGCTATCACTCTTGATTTGAAAACAACTCGAGGAGCATTTTCACGGACTCCAAAAAATTGCGGAAAAGACGTTTCACCGAACTCGAAAGAACAATAAAAGGAATTCGAAACCAATTCTATGTTCCTGTATAATAAGTAACCCCAATTTGTTACTGGTATTATTTTTGTTTCATACTTTATATCCAGCTTTCAGTTTGTTAGTGGATCTGATTGACTTTTATGGCTTGATTGTGAGTAATAAGTCAGTGTTAGTCAACTCTCAAAAATTGCAGATCGATTTGGAGCTGGCCAAGATGAGAAACGTGACCCCGCAATAGATTGTCGCGACTGGGACTCAAATTGTGTGTTAGCATGTACAAAAGACATGCTAAACTGCTTATCTTATACACTGCGCTCTACATAAAGATTCATAAAACTTGGTAAAATATGTTTCATGCAATGCAATATTTTTACAAAAAAATCAAATTGGGTTATCATTTCATTTCTTTTCAGGCCATCCCATTATGACCATTATGACTAGAAGCTGGAGCACGTATGTCCAACTCGCTTGCCGAGGTACGTCGCGTGCCCGCCAGAAAGCACGTCCAGGATCCTTCGGGATAAATTGGTCAAGGATCCGACTGATTTTTCCGGTGACCGAGCGCTGCTTAGAAAGAGCATCCGGCTCGACAATTCGGTGGAAAGAGGACTCGCGGTAAAAGAAAATCTGACAGCTCGAACTAGCAGTAAAAATCCGATTTTCACTAACATGTAAGATGGGGTTTCCGACGAAACAAAGGCTGCAGGATCTTTACCAATGGTTGGAAACGGGTATAAAAAGTCAGATTTATCTATATCTTACACTTTTTATTACTTTAACATGAGAATGCACAGTATTACTTTATCATGAGAATTCAAGCATACAGTTGCTTTTTGGTGTTTCAAAATTGTGGTCTTCGTTTTTTTAATTACACCATGCCCAGTCTACTTTCTTTTAAAATATTGGACATATTCTCAAAGATTTACAAACACCTAAGATTAAATGAGGGAAAGGAATGTCATAGAGAGTATATGTGATCTTGAATGATAATGGGGTCTTTTTGTGTAGGTTGCCCTGATGATTTTCATTTTAGTCCTAGAATATGTAATGAATATGGTGCCTGCTTAGATTTCTAATAGCTTTATGAAAAGTTGGATGAGGATCCTTATCCCGATGTCAGCTACAAAAGCTTATACTTTAATCCACAGAACATGGTATGGTTGATGTCTTTTGAAGTTCAATTGTTTTTTTTTTCTGTGGTACAACAATGTACGTCACTACAAATTATTTTATCTGTTTTATGTTTTCCTTTTTTTTTTTAGCTGGAGGCTTTTATGGAGAAGAAATATGAGTTGATCATGAAGTTGAAGTTTGCCAAGGGACAAGTTGCTGTTGTAAGTATTACATATGAGTTTTGCTATATTAATATGCATTTTTAACCTACATCATATTCTGAATAACTCACTGCAACCTTACCTAAATAAAATATCTCTGTGTTTGCCTACTTTTGTTGGCAAATGAGCACCTTTGTTTCTGGTACATGTTTCTAATATATGCTTTTGTAAGTGGTTATTTTTGTTCAACTTGTATATCTTGGGTATATAGAAATGCTATCTTCGTCTGAGTGAATTTCTGGATGGAGTAGTGGAAATGAGAATACGATTGTGAATGCTGATACTTGAAGCTTTCATAATATAGAGTTAAACAAATTAAAATAAGACAATTTTGTAGATTGTGAAAAATATCCACTTTACTACTGATTGGATTAAAAGTTAAATAGTTAAGCTCAGACTCTACTGTAAATCTAAGCCAACATATTGCATATTGATATACACACTCATTGTTCTCTCTTCACTTCAATTTAAATCTGCTGACCTATTACTGTCAAGTTCTACACTGGGTAGTGTTTTGACTCCTGATAAATGCTTATTATAGTTTGAGGTTTAGGTTGTAATGGACAAGAAAAAATTTGCATTGTAAGATCTTTTGGATGAAGAAATAATCATTCAAGAATGCAAAGCATTACAAACCGCCTTATAAGTTTGTACTCCTTGCTTAGTTACTTACCTCATTTGACATCTTGTGCTATAAAATTATTCAGTTCCACTGTAATGCCCCACTGATATAGCCATACTATCGTGCAACGGTTCAGTAACCGTGGCATTGCCACAATCGGCTCATAACGGTTCATATCATCACGGTTCGAAACTGCTAAGTCAATTACAACACAGTCGAC